CACGCACCTTCTTCTATATACAGAAACTCCCGATCAACCGCAGAGCGGCCGGCTAGGTACGTCATCCATCCCGTTGGCGTGATGGCTTCCCATCTCGCTGCTATCAGCTGGTCGTAGTCAGGTTGTGCTGCTGGAGTCGGCTGAGGTCGGGTGGGACGCTGTGCTAGAGCTTGATGTCGTTTGCTGGATGGGTCGGGTGGCTTGGGTGGGAGCTTGGGGTGCTTGAGCGGCAGTGGCATGTGTAACTGTCGAACGATGTTGTACTGAGCTCCCCACGCAAGATGAACCTCTGCCCTATGTGAGGTCCCCATGGTACGTCACTGACAGGTTCCACTCCGACTATGTGTTGTTGTGCTGACGGGCTGACAATAATGTAATCAATCTGCGATGGTGGGCTGTCCTTCTTGAAGCATGTGTGCGCATTGCCCTCGGGTGTGAGAATGCGCCCGTCTCCTAGTGCTTCTGGCCAGCCTGCTGCTGCGAATTCGGTTGGGGGTGTGTTGAAGTCTCCTGCCACAACCCACGGGATATTCAACGTGCTCAACAATTGTCCGATCTCTTTAAATATGTCCGCAGTCGGTCCCGTTCTGAGTGGCTTGTGGCACTCGAGGTACAAGCTGATGACCACGATGGAGTAACCACGCATATGCCGCACCATGGGTATCCAATCCTGGAAGGACAGGAGATCGGCTGAATCAGTACAAGGTTTGCCTGCCGTCGAGTGCGACACGCTGCCCTTCTTCCCAAGCTCGCGTAGGAACCTGGTGCAAACGTGGTTCTTAGCAATCGCAGTCACACCTCCATGAGAACCCTTCACTGAGGCCTTCGACTGTCGTGCTGAAGTGAAACATGCTTTTAGACCCAACTTGGCGAGAGAGGTTTCCGCATCCTCGAGCTCCTGGAACTTGAGGTGCGTCTCCTGTAGGAGGTACCCGTCGTACAGTGGCCGCTGATCCCGTCGACACTGTAGCGTTCCCCTAATCCACTTCTCCGCCTGTGGTCCCCACGTAGTACTATTGCCAACACATATTGAGATCTGCTCACGGGTGGCCGAGCGGTTGGCTGTCATGCCACCCCGCAGCTGTTTCTAGTTGGGTACTGCAGCAGGCAACTTCCCTTCGCGGATCTGGCGGAGGAGCTCGTCACGCTGCTCTGGTGTTGTAGGGGTCCCTTCAGCTGGTGTCGGCGTAGGCGTGCTCGGTGGTGCGCTTGCCGATGCTGCTGAAGATGCTGCTGTCTGCTGCTGCTGCTGCTGCTGCTGCTGCTGCAGCTGGTCCGTGGTCTTGCGCTTCTTGGCCTCCCTGAGCCTTGTTGCATCTGCCATAGCCTTCGCCTTGGCTTCGTCGATGCGCGCCTTGATCTGGCCCGCGTAGGATTGCGCTCCCGCCTGTAGGTCTCTGATGGCTGCCTGCTTGGCTGCCAAGATCTCCGTCTTCAGCTCCTCGTCCTCGTCGCCTTGCAGCACGTCCTCCAACTCAAGGTCGATGACCCCGTTCTGCTGCAGCTCGTGCTCTGAGGAGTTCAGGAGCTGTTCCATGAGACTCTCCGGCTTGTTCTCCATCGTGATCTCTTTCAGGTTGGCCTTCGCTTGCTCGAGTGCTTTGCCTTTCTCGATCATGTCCTCATACGCCTTCGCGACTTGACCTTGCAGTCTGCTGTGCTCGTCGCAGGCTTTGTGGAACTCATTGTAGGCCACCTCTTGTGCTTTCGCCGCTGCTGTGCAACGAAGCTCTGCAGGTTGTTGTGGCCGAAGTGGTTGGAGCGTTTGGGCTAGAGTCGTCAGCTGTGCCCCCAGCGCTGTCACCGCTGTGTTGGCTCCCAGTCCCATCTCTTGGAGCTGCTGGCCAAGCGTTGACATCAGCTTGGTCATCTCCTGGGTCTGGTGCTGGCTGCTGCTGCTGCTGCTGCCGCTGGTCCCGCCGTTCTGCTGGCGTTCCTGCTCCTTGATGCAGTTGGGCTTTTTGACCAGTTTGCTGCAGCGCCAGCACTTCCATCCATTCTTTGCCAGTGTAGTGTCGTACGTCCACTTGCTGCAACTTCGGCACACCGTATCTTGTGCGCCTCCTCGCCGAGCCATGTCTGCTGCGGCTGACGGCGGGCTGCTGCCGTGGTGCTCTCTCAGTCTCTCCAGGTCTCCTGCCTCTCGCAAGCGGCGCCGCGCCACGGCGCGCTGGCGCCGCTCTCTGCGGTGCCACGCGGGCGAGGGAGGCCGCCCCTGGCCTCGGCGGCCCTCCGTGGGCCTGGGGGCTCCCCTATGGCGCGGGCCGCCGCCGCGCGCCGCCGCCGGGCAAAATGCTGCGCGGGGGCGGGGCGGGGCCACGCTGGGGAGCCACCTAGGAGGAGGAGGAGGAGGAGGAGGAGGAGGAGGAGGAGGAGGAGGAGGAGGAGGAGGAGGAGGAGGAGGAGGAGGAGGAGGAGGGGGCAGGACCCAGAGACCACCAAATCTCCCCAACGGAGGCCTCATCCCCGGTCCCCGAGGCCCGTCCCCTCCACCAGGGCTTCCTGCACCTCCCCGCCGGCTCTGGGAGGCTTCTGCGGAGCCTCGGGAGAGGCAGGCAATAGGGGAACACAAAGTGACATAAGCATAACAACTCGGAGGTCCGCGCGGATTTCTCGGATCGGCGCTGGGGACCCCCGGCGGCGCCTCCGGCGCCGCCCCTGGCGCGCTCCGCCGTGCATTTTTCGGTTTCGTGCTTGCTTTTTTTTTCTCTGATGATCCAGGATGCTCCTCGATGGTTCGTGCCGACAAACATAGGGGAACAAAAAGTGGCATGAGCATAAAAACTCGGAGGTCCGCCCGGATTTCTCGGATCGGCGCTGGACCCCCCTCCCTGGCGCGCGGAGCGCGCCGGGGGCGGCGCCGGAGGCGCCGCCGGGGGTCCCCAGCGCCGATCCGAGGAACCCGCGCGGACCTCCGAGTTTTTATGTCTGTGCCGCTTTTTGTTCCCCTGGGCAAGGGGGAGGTGGCCGAGGTGGAGGAGGAGGGCCAGCACCAGGATGAGAGAGGGGCGGCCCTGCGCCCGCCGCCGCGCAGCCTCAGAGCTGCAGGGGCCTCTCGCCCCCTGCCCCCGGCGAGCGGGCTTCCTCGCGCGCGTGCCCCGACCCACGGCGTGCTGATGTGCGCGCGTGCGCACGTCTGTCTCGCTTCGCCAGCTCTGCATTCGCGGCAGGGCGGCAGCGAGGGAAGGGGGGGGGTAGGGAGGCTCCCTCTCCCTACCGCCCCCCCCCTCCTCTTCCCTCTCCCTACCCCCCGGGCCAGCCTTCCCGCCAGGTGGACGCGATCGGAAGCGGTCGGCCGATGCCGTCGCTGGCGCTGAGGGGGGGAGGGCTGGGTGCATGCTCTCTTGGTTCTTGGCATCGCTCGGACGTGTGCATCTGTTTTAGGAGAAAAACAGTGACATAAGCATAAAAACTCGGAGGTCCGCGCGGATTTCAGTATGAGTCCGGGTAGGACGTCAGTCCGCTGGGCCCAACAGCTCCATTGAACGTGGCAGCAGATTCGCATATCGCAGACCCCCAGTGATGGCGATGTAGAATTTGAGTCCGCGTGGGACGTCACTATGATGGAAGCCCCACCGAAAGCTGCGACAGTTTCGCAGCTCTCAGCCCTGCCACGGCCGGCGAGGTCCAATCCGAATCTGCGTCGGAAGTCATTCCGCACGGCCTCCAGCAGCCTCCGACAGTGGCGACCCTCTGACACCTCGCGGGGCGCCCCGTCCAAACTCAGGGTAGAAGGTAGGGGGATGGATAAACCCTTCCCCCATATCAGGGTGAGAAGGAGCTGTTGCAAGAAGTAATGCAAAGGTTCGTTAAACCACTTACGCCCTGGGGGCTGGTGGGATTCGCAGAGTAGGACGAGAAGGAGGAAGAGGAAGAGGAAACATGAGGGAAGGATAACGAATAACAGTATAAAAACGGCGATGTCTGAAAAAAAGCAACAAGGCGTTATCGCTCGATTGTCTGCTTTGCATTCCTGCCCTTCCGCCTGCACGCCAAACCTCAAGGACCAAAGTGCATGGCGCGAAACGCCAATGCAGCCCTGTATCTATGCAGAGAGAGGGAGAGAGACAGAGAGAGATATGATCTGATCCAGGGCTCCGGCCCCCCCCTTGTGCTGATGCCTTCGGCCCCCACCCCGCGCGATGGTCCCCCGCCCCTTGTGGGCGTGGCGTGGTGGAGCCCCCCCCTGTGGGCGTGGGGTGGTGGGGGTGCCAGTGCCACCCCGCTCCCCTTTGGGCATGGGGTGGTGCGATGTCGTCGTCGTCGTCGTCGTCGTCGTCGTCGTCGTCGTCGTCGTCGTCGTCGTCGTCGTTGTGGGTGTCCGTCCGTCCGTCCACTCGTCGTCCGTCGTCCGTCGTCCGTCGCCCGTCGTCCGTCGTCCGTCGTCCGTCGTCCGTCGTCCGTCGCCGTCGTCCGTCTTCCGTCGTCCGTCCTCGTCCTCGTCCTCGTCCTCGTTCTCGTCGTCGTCATCGTTTCCGTCGTTGTCGTCTGCATTGTCCGTCGTCCTCCTCGTCTTCGGTCACTGGCCTGTGGCGGGGGAGGGGGCGGGGGGCCTGGGAGCCCGCCCCCTCTGGGGGGGAGGGGGTGGAAGGGCCCGTGAGCCCTCGACCCGGGACCACATGATCCCCACCCAGGGGGCTGAGCCGGCCAGTGGGGCCGAGGCCCTGCCCGTGGCAAAGGGGATCGGGTGGGCGTTGTTCACGGGCGGCGGCGGGGCCCCCCGCGGCCGAGCGGGGGCCTCGGGCAGCTCCCGGGGCGGTCTGCCAGGCCGCGAGGAGGAGGGGAGGATGGAGGACGGAGAGAGGGAGGGAGGAAGGAGGAAGGGAGGATGGAGGATGGAGGAGGGAGAGAGGGATGGAGGAGGAGGAGGAGGAGGAGGAGGAGGAGGAGGAGGAGGAGGAGGAGGAGGAGGAGGAGGAGGGGGAGGGGAGGGGGAGGGGGAGGGGGAGGAGGAGGTGAGGTGGTCTTCGGCCGATACTTGTCCGATCCTGCTCCAATCGAGCCGCTTGGGCTCAAGGCAGGCAGCCGCGCCCAGGAACCTCACCACTGTCCGCCGAGTGGCGGCCCCCATCGCCCCATCTCAGAGCCATGCCGATGGCTGAGCCAGACGTCGAGGTGCCTTGCTACTCGTCGTCGTCATTGTCGTCGTCGTCGTCGTCGGCGTCGGCGTCGTCGTCGTCGTTGTCGTCGTCGTCGTTGTCGTCGTCGTTGTCGTCGCCGTCGTCGTCGTCGTTGTTCTCGTCGTCCTCGTCGTCGTCGTCATCGTGCTCGTCGTCGTCGTCGTTGTCCTCGTCGTCGTCGTCGTCGTCGTCGTCCGCGCCATCCTCCTGCCTGGTAGAGGGAGCTCCTCTTCATCCTCCCCATCCTCCTCCTTCCCTCCCTGCCTCCCTTCCTCCCCCTCTCCCTCCATTCCCGTCCCTCCTTCCTTCTCCCTCCCCACTGGTCCTCCTCCTCCTCCTCCTCCTCCTCCTCCTCCTTCTTCTTGGGCCCCCGGGAGACCTTCGGAGAACTCGAGAGATCTCCGTAGAGCTTCGGAGACCTTCAGGGCAGGGACATCCAGGGACCTCGAAGGAGGAAGAGGGGGAAGAGGATGATTATGAGGACACATACCTCTTCTATTTTGAAAGCGTTGAGATACATTGAGATACAGGCTTTTCTCCATGTTCGGCCTTCGGGGGCCGTTCTGGGGAACATTGCATGTAACGAAAACCTGCTCCTTGGGAGAGGCTCGGAGTTCCGGGCCCGCGCATAGAACAAATGAGGACATCGCCTCCAACAAACAATTCTTACCCCGACGTCCTCCCCATCCTCCTCGTCCAGGTGCCGGAGGGGGACGTGAAGAAGGGAGCGAAGTTGTTCAAGGCCTGGGATCTTCCAATTTGAATCCCCTGCGCCTTCAGTGACCGTTTCGCCCTCAGCGAAGCTGCTCAGGGCCAGGGATCCTCAGACCTGGGACATCCTGGGAGAGGATGGGGCAGCTGACGGTTGCTGCTCCCCAGGAGGAGGAGGAAGATGAGGAGGAAGGGAGGGAGGGAGGGAAGATGAAAAGAAGGAGAAGGAGAAGGAGAAGGATGCTGACGCTGATGATGATAATGATGATGATGATGATGATGATGATGATGATGATGATGATGATGATGATGATGATGGTGATGGTGATGGTGATGGTGATGGTGATGGTGATGGAGGTGGTGGTGATGATGCTGCTGATGATGATGCTGATGCTATGATGACGCTGATGCTGATGCTGATGATGATGCTGATGCTGAGGCTGCTGATGATGCCGATGCTGATGATGATGACGACGATGATGGTGATGATGATGGTGATGCTGATGGTAATGATGATGGCGACGATGACGATGATGATTAGTGATATGACGATGATGATGATGCTGGTGATGATGATGGTGTTGGTGATGACGAGGAGGATAATACAGATGACGATAATTATAAGAAGGAGGGTATGGATGATTCAGGGTGATGAGGAGGAAGAGGAAGGAGGATGAGGGCAATGGTAATGTTGATGATAATATTGCTGATGCTGGTGATGGTGTAGATGACGATGCTGATGATGATGTTGATGATGAGGGAGAAGGAGGAGGAGAGGAGAAGGAGGATAAGGAGGATACTGAAGAGGAGGATGACGAGTAAGACAACTAATAAGGATCACGCACGAGGAAGACATATGAGGAGGGGAAGGACGAGGAGGTGGAGTGGGATAAGGAGAGGGGGAAGGAGGTAGGGAGGGCGGTAGGCAAGATGGTATGAAGGGCGGGAGGAGGGATGATGAGGGAGAAGGGATAAGAGGAGGAGGAGGCGGAGGAGGAGGCGGAGGATAAAGAGGAGGAGGAGAAGGATAAGGAGGATGACGAGGATGATACTGATGATGCTGGTGATGATGATGACGACGATGATGATGCTGATGATGATGATGCTGATGATGATGAGGAGGAGGAGGAGGAGGCAGAGGAGAAGGAGGAGAGGCGAGGAGCGAGAATGATGATGAAGTGAGGAGGAGCAGAAGCACGAGGAGGAGGAGGAGCAGAAGCAGGAGGAGGAGGAGAAATCGGAGGATGAGGGGAAGGAGGAGGATCAGAGTCAAATCAATACGCATCAATGATGCCGCAGTTCTCCCTCCCATCCCAATCACCATGCCCATAAGTCCCTAGCGGCCTGTCTTTTCACTGCAGTGCGAGCCCTCTTGCAAGACAAGCACACCATGGGCCTGCTATCCGGGCAAGGGCACAGTTTTGAAAAAGGAACTGCGTTCCATCCTCCTCCTCCTCCTTCTCCTCCTCCTCCCTTCTCCACCTCCTTCTCCTTCTCCCTCTTCCTTCTCCCCTTCCTCTTCCTCCTCCTCCTCATCCTTCGCCTCCTCCTCCTCGCGCGCAATGAGGAATGCAAGAAGATAGGGTCACACAGTTCAACAGGGTGTCAAGCCAGATTCCTGCTTTGAAAATCGACGGCCCCACCCGTGTAACTGGTGAACAAGCTTGCACTCGGGTCATGGTCCTTGTGGAACCATCGAGCGAGAGCGCCATTTTGAAAAGGAACAGCCCTCCATCCGTACAGCTGCCAAGTGCAGGTGTTGAAGCTCCTGGCTTTTACTTTCAGAAAGTCTCAAGCGATGACGCAAGTTCGAAAGCCGCCTTTGCTCTGTCTGTGCTGCAAGCGGTTAGTGCGAATGAGCCCCATTTTGAACATTTGCCGGCCTCCATCATTACGGCTGTTGCAATTTTCTTGCACGGATGTGCGCGGCGCTAGGGTGATAGCCCTATCTTCAGATATTTTCAAAGCCATTGTTGCTCCACGTTTGTAACTCTTGCACGTTTTCAAGACGGATGCGCGCGGCTCTAAGACGAAAGCTCCATGTTGAAAACGACCGGAACTCCATCCGTCTGGTTGTTTCAAGATTTCCAGCAAACGTGCGCGGCGCTAAGGCGAGAGCATCATTTTCCCAAACCACCTCTGTGCATATTTGGAAATATGTGCTCCTGTTTCGAACTTCAAGCTTCAGGATCTGAAGTTGAGATCGGGCATGTCCCTCTACAGGAGGAATGCTCAAGAATAGTAGAGAAAGACAGTCTGGTCACGATTATTCGTGCTCTTCTGACGTGGAGAAAATACATTTGGACAGCTTACTTCTTGTTCTTTCAAAACCCGCCTGCAGGAGGACATGCCCGACCGAATCTTCAGCGGTGGGGAAGTCTCAGGGGAACCGCTCGGCCCGCCCTGCCGACACGTCTTGGGGGTGCGACATCGAGGAGTTACGGTCAGGATCTCTTGTCGAGCTTTTCGCGGCGGCCGCCCCAGCGACACGCTAAGCCTTGCGAGTTGATCGCGTGTCGCTCCGCTTCGCGGGGCGGGAGGCTGCGAAAGGCTCGGGACGTTAACGCTTGGGAATTGGGATGTGGTTAGTTAGTAGCGCCGAAGCGTGGTGAACCAGAATCGGTGGCGCAACACGCTGAGCAAAGGGCCTGACCGCATCTGCAGGGAAAAGCACGGAGGATGGCGATGATGATGATTCTGATGACGTTGGTGATGTTTATGCTGATGCTGATGCAAATAACAACACTCATGTTGATAGCAGTGATGATGAGTAGATGATTATGATGACGATTATGATGATGAAGACTAAGATGATGATAATGATGATGATGGTGATGATGGTGGTGGTGATGATGATTATCATGTTGATGATGATGCTGACGATGATGATGATGGTGATTGCGATGGTAATGCTGATTATGATGGAAATGAGGGTGGTGGTGATGATAGTGATCATGATGATGATGACGATGATGATGATGATGATGATGACGATGGTGATGGTGATGCTGATAGTGATGGTGATGGTGACGATGCTGATAGCGATGATGATGACGACGACGGTGATGATGATTATGGTGGTGTTGATGGCGAGTTTGATGAAGGTGAATGTAGTTACCATAATGCTGACTATGATGATGATGATGATGATGATGTTGAGGATGATTATTATTTTGACTACCACATCGGGGATCACAAGAATAAGGATGTCGATGCTGACGATGATGATGCTGATGACGGTGACGGTGCTGCTGATCCTGATTATTATCATGATGATGGCGATGATGATGGTGATGATGATGACGACGGCGATGCCGACGATGGCGGCGATGATGATGATGTTGGTGAAGATGACGATGACGATGATGATAGCGATGGCGATGATGATGCTGATGATGACGATGGTGACGAGTCTGATAGTGATGACGACGATGATGATGATGATGAAGAGGAAGATGATGATATGGATTATGAAGGTTGGGATGAGGACGATGATGATGGTGCTGATGACAATGACAATGACAATGACAATGACGATGATGATGATGATGATGATGATGATGATGATGCTGATGATGATGAGGATGCTGCTGCTTGTGATGATGATGATGATGATGATGATGATGATGATGATGATGATGATGATGGTGGTGGTGATGATGATGCCGACTGGGAAGAGTGGGAGAGGAGGAGGATACCGATTTCTGACGTCTTTCGTTTTTTTGATTCGGCCTCTTGGGGGCCTTATCGTCGCCATGGCTGGATTCGCCTCCGAGTCGTCCTGGTCAGAAGGCTCTCGAGGACAGGTCGGGGGGTCCACTGAGGATGGAGGGCCCCTCTTGGCCCCCGAGGTCGTCACAGGCGCCTCGCTGCTCCCGTCCTTGCTGCTGTTCCTTCTCTTCATCCTCCTCATCCACCTCCTCCGTTTGCTCCTTCTCCTCCTCCTCCTCTGCCTTCCCTTCCTCCCATTTCTCCCCTTCCTCCCCCCCCATCCTCCCGCTCCTCCTCCTCCTCCTCCTCTTCTCCGTCCCCTCCCGCCTTCCCCCCCTCACTGCTCCCCTGTTCTCCTCCTCCTCCTTCTCCTCCTCTTCTCCGTTTCCTCCCGCCTTCCCCTCCTCACTGCTCCCCCCTTCTCCTCATCTTTCCCAGGGTGTATTCGAATACAGGGGGGAGAGGGCGCTCCAGAAACCTGCGGCGGCCCGGCCACTGGAACCAGGGGCTTGCCGCAAGCCGCAAGCGGCCCGCAAGCCCCCCCCCCCCCCCCCCGCAAGCCGCTTGCGGGGGGGGAGGGGGCGCACAGCACCGGCTCTCTTCAGGCGTTCGATCGTTGGGTCCGCTTCGGGGCGCTGTGTCGTCGTCGGGAGAAGGATGACCGCTCGGCTGTTCGCACAAGTCGTGCGATCCTGGATTGGGCCTGGTCACGGGATGGTTCCCGAGGCCAGGTGTCTGGCGTGCGTTCGATTCAGATCCCAGGTTGCCACAGACGTCTCAAGATCCTTGTTGGAACCACTGTGGGTTAGGACGTTCCGCCCCACCCCGCGGACTCGAACGCCACGTGCTCGGCGGCTGCGGTGGACCTACCGAGGGACGATCCGTGAAAGCTCGTACGGCCCGGATCTTGATGAATGGTGGTCATGTTGATGATGATGATGATGATGATGATGATGATGATGATGATGATGATGATGATGATGATGATGATGATGATGATGATGATGATGATGACGAGGACGAGGACGAGGACGAGGACGAGGACCATCATCAGTGATCATGACCATGACGATAATACTTTTCATGATGATGAGGAGAAGGAGGACATGATGAGGAGGAGGTGGCTGCTGGTGCGGCGCGACGAGGCGAAGTGTGCCCAATGCCACACCATCGAGAAGGGCGGCAACGCCAAGCAGGCTTCGATCCTCCTCCTCGAACCTCGCTCCTACTCCTTCCTCGCTCTTCAAGCCTCGCTGCTGCTGCTTCTCCTCCTCCTCCTCCTCTTCCCAGGGGGCTGGGTCATGTAAGGGATCCGCTGATGGCGCTCGTCCTGTTCAACCTCGTAAGCGCCCCCAAGCCTCTAAGCATGATGAGGCGAAGCTCTCTGACGATGACCACGACGACATCCCTGAAGAATACGTCAAACAGTGGTGTCGCGAGGTCTTCCACCCGATGCTCGATGACATACGCGACCAGCTCACCACGTCGCTCACCGAGTCGCTCACCAAGGCGCTGGCAGGTGACATCGAGACCTCCAGCGCTGCAACGATCATCTTGCTCGACATGTTACGAGTTGAACTCACTGGTATCGGACACCTTGATGAGAGAATTGCGTCCGCAGTACGGCCGCAAGTGGATGTTTCCAGAGGCATGCAGTTGCGTACCGGCCATTGCCAGTCACAGCTCGGTGCCCACAACAACCGTCTGGCTGCCGCCGAGAGGGAGATCACCGACCTTCGTGAGGAGATGGCCGAGCTCCGCAGGCCCCTTGCTCTCGCGGAGTCCCGCCCGCAAACCCAGATCCCAATCCCTGGCGGGTCCGAGCGAGACGTTGACACCTCCATCGTTGCGGCCGTGGCCCAGCGGCCTGCCTCCCTCGAGCCTGCGAGTGCCATCCTCGACCCCTGGTTGGCACACAGCGGAGTTCTTGCTCCGTCGTGCGCGTGCTGCTCCGTCGTGCTCGTGCTGCCATCACCGCAGCGCTCCCCAACTTACACCTTAGGCGATGCTGAAGAAAACCCAAGGTTTCGGCCAGAGTCTCGATTATTCTTAATGTTTCAATGTAGATCCTAAGATTTGAATAGACATTCTGGATGTTTATTCAAATTCTGAGACTATGAATTTCTTAACCCATGATTTCTAAAGCATTTCGCAGGGTGTACGCCTGTTCTCTGATCGAGAACGTGGCACGTTTTCTGTGGGGTGGGGCCGCATCGTGCGAAATGAGGCTCGCCCGGGGGATCGGCGGGCAGAGCCCTTCCGGGATGAGTAGAGGGTGGCCAAGAGCAGCCTCGACGAGGCCCAGCTTCCGGCGCTGGTCAAGCACCTGGCTGAGCCCAAAGCCCGGTCCGTGTGGTGCCCTTGGCGTGTGGAACTTGTTTCGCTGCTCTACACTTTCGGCTGACGCACGCCACCCATCACTACGCGTAGTGACCCGGGACACGCGTGCCCTTCTACAAGCTGCTGGCGAAAGAGCATCATCAAACGCGAGTGCTTCTCCAAGTCGTGTCCCGCATCACACACACTTTGCCTCCAGGAGGTGCATCAAGACGAACTTCAGTTGAGTGTGTGTTCGAACTCTGTCGAGCCCTTCGCGGCGTTCCACACGTCGTTTTGTGAACCCGACCGAGCCTGCCGCCTCCGCGGGGGCGTCTCTGTTCTTCTTCCTCAGTGCGATCGTGCAGCTGGGGGGCGAGTAATTTCGAGCTCGGGGGCCCTTCTGCCCGGCCGCGGTGTGCATGTCAACGTGGAGTGTGGCCATCGGGTTGCACCGCCTGTATCCGAGGCTATGCCTCCTCTCGGCCTCGCTCTGAGGCTCCGCCGCTTCCTCCCTCCTCTTCTCTGCCTAATTCAAGCTTCGCGCGGCCCGCTTAGCTTCGACCGGAAGAGGTGCGCTCTCGACCCGCGGATCAAAAAAGTGTGGCCATCGGGTGGGACATTTTACATGTCAATGTGCACCAGTTGTCGGGAAGTCAACGCGGTCGGCAGGGTGACCGCGGCGACCAATCAGTTTGCAGGCATGGGTCCCTCCAGTCGCTTGGTGACTGCGACAGGGGGGCTTCCATGTCGCTTGGAAGGAAGCCGCGACGCTTCACATGCCGCGGCCGTCCGTCGAGCTGCCTGGCAGCACTACGCTCGTGCTCCTCTGTGGCGCTCCATCCTGGCGTCGTATGTCGAGATCGAATGTGATATGCCCTCGCGCTACGAGAACAGTAACAATGTTGAGACCACCATCCACTGTCTCTTCGTCTCGCCTCCTGGCTGACAGATATGTGCCAGTTGTTCCTCCAGGCCGCTGCAGTGGGGACCCCCGCCTGGGTGTCTGATCGGAAGTTCTCCGGCCATGCTGCGGTGACCTCCACCGTGCCATCTCGATCCGCTCGCCCCCCCGATGAGCGCCAAGCATCCAAGCGTTTGTACCAGGACCCGTTCTATCGCATCAGGCTGAAAGCGGTGATCGGATGCTCTGGCTAGGCCAGCATGTCTGCCCCCGTCAAGCTTGAGCACTATAAGTCGCTCCTAAGGCAGGCCGCGCGTGAAACGTACGATCTTCTCTCCGCTGCCATCCCCAGCACCTCCGCACTCTGCTTCAGCTTGCTCGGTGTATGGCTCGTGTGGCGTGGCGCCAGAGCGTCGCCCTGGCCTGGAGATTGACTGAATCGCATTCGGCTGCCTCGGACTCCCTGGACATCTCGGGACTGGCGGTGTCTCGCTTCGACGCCCCGAGTCCTCCCAGGCCCGCACCGACAGGCTACGGCGCGAGGCGGCGGAGGCGGTGGAGGGGGGGCATCGAGGGGCGCCGGGAGGTCGGGGGGGGGGGCACTCGCAGAGGAGTCGCTAGCCGAGCTCGGGCCCCCGAAAGACACGGGCCCCGGCGCAGTCGCCCCTTCGCCGGTGAGGTGGCTCGTCTGCCGTGGCCGGGGAGGGGGGCGTCAGCCTGCCGCGGGCCCCCGGGGGAGCGCGGTCGGCACCTCCTCCTCCTCCTCCTCCTCCTCCTCCTCCTCCTCCTCCTCCTCCTCCTCCATGTCCTTGCGTGGAGGTCGCGGGGGGAAGCGACGGCGGAGGGGCGCGTTCGGGGCCCACTGCCAGGCGCTGCCGGGCTGCGCCTCCCGCCTCCCCGCCGCGCGCGCGCGCCGATGTGGGAGCGCCGCTGCAGCCGGCAAAGGACTCGGCTGCAGGCCAGAAGGGGCTCTCGTGCTCCGCCCGGAGGTCGGGCCCCACGGGTCTCTCGAGGTTGTCCGGGAACTTTGGGAGTCGGCGGCTGGTGGGCAGTCGCTCTCCGACTCGGCGAGCCTCGCTTCGCGGGCCTTCCTCCCTTCAAGAGTGTCGGTGATGAGGAGGTCCAGTCGGGGATGTGCGTTCGAGCTGCGGACGTGGCCCGGGCCCTCGGAGCCGTGACGCCAAGACGCTAATCTTCCACGGTGAGCGCCGCGATCGGGCCGGCTCTCGAACACATCGCTCCCGATCGCCAGAGGGTTTCGTCCCGGAGATGAGCTTCGGGCGCCGCGTTCTCGAGTTCGACGCGTCCGACCGCATGACGTCAATGGTCCCTCTTGGCTCCTCGGCGACACCTCGGTAGTACTCCCTGGGCTTCGGCCAGGCCTTCCCATCTCTGAGTCAGGAGCTCCTCCTCTTCATCCTCAGGGCTTTCAGGCCCCCGGCGGGCTTCCTGCAGTTCGAGCGCATTCTCTGCCAAGCTATTGAAGGCATCGTGGTGGTCGCTGGATGTCGTCGGGGATCATCCAGGGTTGTGCGCTCTCGGGCTCGCTGTATCTCATGGGTACGGCGGTCTTTTTTATCGATCGAGGGGGCTGGGAGAGGCTTGGCGCAGGCCTGCGCCGACGACATCGGGGGGGCGGCTGTCGTGAGCTTCGATGAATTGGCCCCTGTGGCTGACACTATGGATTGGGCCCCGAAGCTTGCTAACCGCGTCTCGATGGTCTGCAAATGTAAGTTGGACCCGCCATCAGATTCATTCTCAGAAGCGCTGGCCCTGAAGGCTCGTGGTGGGCTCCCGACTGTTGTCTCCGGCTGGTCCTCCTCTGGGGTTGCTCGACCTCGGAGCAGGGCTGGACCTAAACGGTGCTTTGCTGGACTTCGGCTGTGTTCTGTTGTCGGTTTGGCAGGGAGGCACAGGAAAACGGGTAGAGCATAGCGAACAACAGAACGAACACAAGCCGAAAAACAACGCTTAGGTCCAGCCCTGTCCTTTGGAGTGGCCCCTGAGCTGCTCTACTTTCAGGAGGGGAGCAAAAACACACAGACACAACTGATCGTCGACTCCCAGGGAAATATGGGAACATGTGGGAGGTGGGGGGGGGAGGACGAAAACCCAGAACATATGGGACACTATTGGGAATCCTGGGCTCTGTGCGTGTGCGTGTGTGTGTGTGTGTGTGTGTGTGTGTGTGCGTGTGTGTGTGCGTGTGTGTGTGTGTGCGTGTGTGTGTGTGTGTGTGTGTGTGCGTGCGTGCGTGCGTGCGTGCGTGCGTGCGTGCGTGTGTGTGTGTTTATCTGTGTGTGTCCCTGAGCCCCTTTCTGCTTGGGAGCGTGGCCGGCCGGGCCCCGCGGCCGGCGGTGCTCGGCTTCGGCAGGCTCCCTTCGCCAAGTGCTTCGCGCTCGGGCTCGGGCCGCCGGGCGCGGCGTCGCCTCCTGCCACAGGGAGGGGAAAGAAAAAACCACACAGGCACAATGAATCGTCGATTCCGAGGAACATATGGAACTGATATCGGAAAGTATCAGAGCATATGGGAAACCTGCGGAGCATATTGAACATATGGAAAATATGGGAAGTGTGGGGGGGAGTCGAACACCCAGAACATGTGGGAAAAGATCGGGAATCCTGGGCTGTGTGTCCATTTGTTTGTGTGTCCCAGGGCCCCTTTACTCCGTGCTAGCCTCTCGCCCATCGCATGTGGCACGCGCATCGTCGCGACGCCCTCGTGTGTCAGCCGATTCTGTCGCCCTCCCTCCGCCGCGAGCTTGGCATGCTGGCGCAGGTGCGTCGCGTCGCATCGGGCGCGCTGGCCCTCAAACGCTTGGACTCAGCTTGACTCGTGGCCTTGACTTGCGGCGGGCGGGGAGGGGGGGCTCGCGCGGCTCGCTGGGCCCATCGCGATCTGGTTTCGTTACCGCGCGCTTGCCGCCTCCACCGATCTCCACTGACCCTCTCCACGGAGTTCTTCGTTCTCGGCTG